TTGGTGGAAAAAAACTCCAGCACAAGGGGCGAAGGGGGTTCTTCACAGTTAGAGCGGTTAGGGTCTGGAACTCGCTGCCACAGGCAGTGATTTCAGCCAAGAGTGTGGAATCATTAAAGAAACTTTTGGACGATTTCCTGAGAGACCGCAATAACCACACTGTATATATACGTATATATATCCTCCTGGTTACTGGGTTGGACAAACTGGCTCCTGAATTCCATATTTATTTGTCCACCCCTGCTGTAGGGGATTATGCAAAACCATGTCTCAAAGGCTATTATAAGAACGTCAACCAGATGTTTTGGGTTTAGTGGTGTTAAGGGAGGCAGATTTGTGGCTGTGATTGACCCCTGTGCCCTATCAAGCACTTCTGCTTCCTTTCTGCCTCCAAATCTCTGTGATGTTTGGTACATTCTGATGATTAAAATGCTTGCAGTGTTATGTGTGTGTGCAAAGATATTGCTTGTGAAGTCTCCCCTGATTCCATAACCTTTGATAAAATGGTAAAAGAATGGGAGTGCCACTCTGCTTTTAGAAAAGTCCAGTAGGTTCTTTATTGGTAGTATCAGTAGTAATAACAAACGGGGAATCAACATGTTTCAGGGAATTTGTGGTGTCTGTTTATCAGAGCTTGTTACTATGCAAGGATTGAAAAAAAATAAGCTTTTGCTGGACAATGTGTCTGGTATTGAGAGGTAGGGTTTGAAAGCCCACTTTGGAAACCGGTTGGGAAACCATTATCAAGCTGTGATCGCACTTGAGGCATGCTAAAGTGGACACTTGAGTCATAACACAAGTGATAATATTACTGCAGAGGCCAGTCAATAAAACCCTAAGGTGACACTCCAGCCATAATGTTTTAGCTTTGGATAGGACTTTTTTGTTTGTGAAATACTGGAAATATGGGGAATGGTGTTGAGATACAAAAGATATAGGGGGTCATGATGAGATACTGCAGATAGGGGGATGGTGGTGAGATACTGGAGAGGTAGGGGAGGTGGTGAGTTACTGGAAATACGAAGGGTGGTTGTGAGATATTGGAGATATAGGGAGGGTGATGAGATACTAGAGATATGGGAATGGTGGAGGGATATGGGGCTGATAATGAAATACTAGAGATATGGGGATGGTGGTGAGATACTGGTAATATGGGAATGGCGGTGAGATACTGGAGATATAAGAATGGTGGGGAGATACTGGAGATATAAGAATGGTGGGGAGATACTGGAGATATAGGAATGGTGGTGAGATATGGGAGATATAGGAATGGTGGTGAGATACCAGTGATATGGGAATGGTGGTGAGATACTGGAGAAATGGGAATAGCGGGGGAGATACTGGAGAAATGGGAATAGCGGGGGAGATACTGGAGAAATGGGAATAGCGGGGGAGATACTGGAGATATAGAAATGATGGTGAGATACTGGAGATATGGGAATGGTGGTGAGATACTTGAAACAATGGGGAAAGGTGGTGAGATGGTAGAGTAATGGGGTAGTGGTGAAATACTGGAGATATAAGAAAGTTTGTGAGATACTGGAATTATGGAGAATGGTAAACAGATACTGGAAATATGAGGATGGAGCTTTTTAGTGGGGAAGAGTTGGGGTATGTAGTGTAGATGCTTTTAGATTATAAGGTTAGTAAATTTGGATAATGGTACAGTGAGCTGGTAATGTGCAGGGAGGACTGGAACCCCATATGCTTCTTATATCTAACATTAATTGACACTCCTGGATCTTCGTACTGCATGTGGATTTCCTGTATATTTTACAGAAAGTATTTTTGAATTGAAATAGATTTAGTGTATCACAAACTCACATTATCTTGGTTTTTCAAAGTGTCTTCTGTGACAGTTTAAGCATTATGACATAATTTGGAAAATTGAGTATTTTCTCCCGCTTTAACCATTGTTTGAGATGAAGTGTACAATGAAATATGGGATAATTAATCAGCAAGACATTGCATTGATCTGCGTGTTTGCAGAGACTTAGCACAATAGAACATTATGTAATTTGGCTCGGCGGAAGCTTCTAATAACTTTCCTGTGTACTTTCGTCCATAAAATAAATATTATCCACGTAAAGTTATTTATTGTATTCACTCCAGGAGATATGGCTGGAAACACATGGGTAGGTATTAGTACTTGTATTTAAATATTTCTTGTGTTTATACTGACTATGCTGCGCCGCGAGAAGCCAGCACTTCCTGTCATGATTTATGATTCTTAAAGGGACTTCATATAGTTGATGTTACTTTTAATATAACATATGCTTCTATTCTTGTTTAAAGGATTATCTAAACTAGGGATGCACCGATACCTGTATTTCGGTATTGAGTACGAATACCGATATATTTTTTTCGGTACTCGCCAATACTGAATACCAAGTACTGGAAGTCCCATTCAGGAAGCCAGGCGGCGTGTAATGACTCGCCACCTGGCTTCCTGATTAGCCGGGCAGCATGTAAAGACTCACCACCTGGCTTCTCGATTAGCAGGGAAGCCATCCCAATGCTTCTCATCACTAGGTGACGAGAAAGCATGGAGTCGGCTTTCAGGCCAATCAGGAAGCCGGGCGCTGTGTAATGACGCGGCGGGTCATTACGCGCTGCCCGGCTTCCTGATTGGCCGGTAAGCTGGCTCCATGCTTTCTCGTCACAAGGCTTCCTGATAACGGAAGTATCAGGTTAGGCATCAGACTAGTACTCACCCAAATACTCGGCATCAGCAATGATACCGATACTAGTATCGGTGCATCCCTAATCTAAACACAAGAACTATAATGTAATTCGTTGCAGCTCACCCATCATTGCATGTGGTGGCTGTATTGGTTTTATTTTTTCACACATTTTCAGCAAGCACAGAAAAATACCTCTTGTTCTGGCAAAGATGCAGTGTGGTTTTCGCGTGGTCTTGAAGGGAAATCATGCAAAAAAGCACTCGACAAATGCGCGAAAACAGCTCAGTCGCCTAGGTGTGTAGCTGGCCTAACTCTGGTCTGTATGTAGTGGTATTTTACCTCTACTAGTGCCATCATTACACTGTCACTGGTATTTTATTGGCCCTTAAGGGAAAAAAAAAAGTAAAAGTCGATTCACAAAGGTTTGATAACTCAGAGTTTCCATAGTTGTCAATGGAGGCGATGGATATGCCAAAATAAAGATTACACATCTTGGTGATATTTATGCTTATGAATCGAACATTTTTAGGAGAAAATTATCATGATTTTTAAATAAGATGTTGTGCTATATCAACTCATTATTTTAATGAATTGAGCTTCAATCACCAACTCAAATGGCTTCTTTCACTGCTCTCATTCATGGGCAGATATTCAAACTCCTAGTTATCATCAGACTGAAGCTGATGGTTTTTTTAAGGGGTGATAACCTTTGTGTTTAATCTTCGTGTTTTGACTTTTACATTCATTTTATCATAGGGAATGATAAAATTACATGATTGGTATAATAGTATTAGTTGTGGTAAAATACCACTCCTTACTAAAGGCAAAATAAAGTTTGTTATGCATCTTCGTCAATGAAGATCTAAGAGATGTGAGCTAGATAAGGTAAGGCATCAAGGACATAATAGCTGAACATGAGAAAAACAGCTTTGTGTATGCCTATTTTATCGTTCTCCTTTCTCAGTGTCAAGTATGTCTGTGTGCTCTGACTACCAAATATCGGTGGTGATGGTGATAATAGTAATCATATCAGGTTTTCTAACCCGTCAAATAATTAGTACCCCCTGACAGTAGCTGGCCCACAGCACCTGCATGGCTGGGCAGCCAGTACACAGCAGCCAGTATGGCTCAGTGTGTGTGGGGCAACATCGAACCAGTATATACTGTAACTAGCAAACCAAAATTTGTAAATGGCCAAAAATATTTGATGAAATAAGTCTTGTAGGAGCCAGGGTAAGTCCAGATTTTGTAAAGAGAGGATTGCCCTACAGAGACACATTGACATATAGAAGGACACTGCTTCCTCTTAAAAAGGTGTGCACAAAGGAAACTCAAAGGTCAAAAGGTTAGAATAAAACGTTATCTATTGTATAATATTGGGGCTCCCAAACAGCAGGGAAGACCTGATGGGGTACTGATATGTATCTGAAAGGACAGAATGACAGATCAGCGCCCCCAAATTACCTGAGGATGCTGACCTGTCATTAAACAATGACAACTGGGCTCCATCCAGTTGTTATTCATCGGCCGGGACCTGCTAGGATGGACTGATCCCCTTATGGAGTGCCGGTTTTTACCTATTGCTCAGTAAAGGCTCCAGTGGAAGCTTTACCAGGTACCGAGGTTCCAGCAGCGGGATTGCAGAAGAGGGTAGAGCTGCTCCATGTTTCTGAAGCGCAAGACATTGTATTAAATAGTTCAATGCACAGGAAGCTACAAAGACACTGGAATCCTGGCAAGATCAACGCATATTTTTCTGTACTTGCAGAAAATGTACTCAGTCTTAAAAAAGAAACCCAATGCAGCCATCACACCTAATGCGGGTGCAATATATTATATTTCTGTTTAGTGATCCTTTAATCATTTCTGCAAGTACAGTGTCATCCTATCTATAGCACTCCACCATATTACTGTTCTAGTGCATGTTGGGACAAAAGACATCGTCAGATTGGTCACTTTGCAGATAAATGGGCTCATTCTCCTTTTACACAAAAGACATCGTCAGATTGGTCACTTTGCAGACAAATGGGCTCATTCTCATTTTACACAATTTTCTACAGAGAAATAGAGAGCTGTGTCTACTAAAAAATCTTTATCCCATCCAAGAAATAGAAAAGTATTAGTCTTACATGCGCTCCCTTTGTAAATAGCACAAATGCAGGCAGCAGCTTTCAAGCTCACTTGCAGCTCAAGGATACAATGTACAATAGTGTTACTTCCATAAAATGGCTTTGTGCTTGCCTGTAATATCAGTGACAGCCATCCTATTTAGTAAAATAATTTGTTACAATAAATCTTCTGCTTTTGTGTTTTTAGTGAAAAAGAAAAGAAGCACAAAACAAGACACGGGACAGGCAACAGATGTCAAGCCAGTACAAAATGGCAGTCAAGTCTTCATTAAGGAACTCCGAAGTCGAACTTTCCCAAGGTAATTCTATGAAAAACGTTTGATGTACCTACCAATGAGATGCAAATCATAAGCTAGACAGTCTTGAGAAATAACAGCTGTCTTTGATCAGCCAGTCTGTGATAACAAGTCTTCTCCGCATTGGTATTTTGGTTTTAAGTTCATGATGGTGGGTTGTAATTACTGCACCCAACAGTGTCAGGTATGAGATGTTTTTTATAGTGGCGATTGTAGGTTGGCAGAGTATGGAACTCAACCAGATCTCTCTGCCACAGTTCAAAAGTAATATAAGATCTGGCTGGTATCCATTTAAATTCCTACTCCAACCAAAACATTTTTGTTTTAGATAGAGTGGAGATGGGTTAGTACCTTAGTCAGGGTTTTATCGCTGTGTGTGTGCCCCTATTGGGGAGACTTCACTTCCTGTTTGAACTGGAAGTGATTTAAATTCTCCCCAACAAACATGAACACAGACAAAAAACAAATATTTAGTGGCATGAGGGAAGGGTTAAAATATAAAGTTATTTCTGCCATCTATGTCTTCCTTTCTTGGTGACAACTGCTCTTCACTGGGTCACAAGCAAATTTAAAAATTAGACAGGAAGTTTAACAGAATTTATTTTCTCGACAAATAAAAGAAAAACAAATTTGGCTTGAGTAAGGCTTTAGCTACATTTAATGACGTAAGTGGATAAGGTGGTCTATGTCCATTGTTTTTGTGTTTTTGTATTGGACTATGGTATTGGTATGGAAGAATAGTGTAATAATAGCCTTTCTTCGACCAGTAATATCCAGGAGATTATTGCAGCTGTTCTGGAGTCAGAATGTCAAATCTGTTAACTTCTAATTTTAGTTTTACATCAGTATAATCTCTGTGCATGTTTTAACACATTACATCTTGGTAACTGTTGCATCTTTTTATTAAATGCTGTGTTCTGTATCCGCCCCCGAACTCAGAGAGAGGTTTGTGCTGGAACCAGGGAACACACTGACCTTTATTTTTGCAGGATTTAATTGAAGCGGAACAGGTTTAACTATGGAGATTAGGCAAGTGGAGAATATAGGTTCAGTACAGTTGAATGCCATGATTAAAACTAGGGCCACTCAGCTGGTGAGTTAAGTTAGTCTAAACGTAACATTTTTGTATCTGGAGAGGCTTAGATACACATTATACTTTGTAAAAGTTTAAAATATAATTCACTTAAAGAATGTGTATTTTTCTATTCGTTCCACTTCCCCCCTCCTCTTTGTGAAGTGACAATGATGGGTAAACATTGCGCCACACTTTAATGCAGGCCACCACTGCCGCTCCATGTAGTCTCTGGGAGAAAAAGGAAAGTAATGCAGAGTCAAAACTTACACAGGGCTATGGACTTCCAGTGTGGTAGCACTGATTGGCTCAGTACAAGTCATATGCTCCTCTATACCCAAAAGTAACGGGTATTTCTCACGGCTCCTGCCACTGAGCAGAGTGGCGAGTGAAGGAAAGGTAAAATATGCTACTGGGGATGTGGAGAAATAATGCAAACCTGCTGCTTAGCCTTAAATGGGCCGCTAAGGCTAAGATGGTTTTCCTTGTAGCCATCACCTCTGCAAATTGAGTGTCTGAGCTAGGGGCTTTATCTTACAAATAACCTTTTTTGGTCTTGAATATGGACAGGTGGCATTAAGGTCCTGGACTTTCGTCTTACCTAACATAGTTTTTGTTTTTCACCTCAGCCAGGACATTGTTCGTCTGTCCATTTGCCCAGCTCTCGTTTATCAAAAGGAAATTTCCCTTTGTTGTATGGATGTGGATTGCGCTGTGTGAATCTGTCAGCCACTGTTTCTTAGAGAAAAAGACTGATTCCCTTTTTGTTGTCCTGGAAGGATCCCAGAAGGGTGCCCCAGCTTCTTGTTCCCCCATCTCTAGGTGGCTCAGACAGACCATAATTTGGGCTTATGGCCTCAAGGATGGGGATCCCCTCCCTCCTTTCCTGTCAAAGCACAAGTGACTGTGAACCTGGGTTTTTTTATGGCATCAAGCAACTGGCAAGGCTGCCACCTTGTTTTCTCTTCATCCATTATCTAAGATCTTCCAGATAAATGTTTTTGTCTCATTTGATGCCAGGTGTCAGTTGTCACTTTAGGCTGCAGAATTTTAGGTGAGTTGGCTCCTTTTTTTTTTATCAGTTCAAAAAAAGGCTCACATGGCATTGTGGCCCCATAAAAAAATGCTCCTTTATGGCATTTTAGTAGTAGTAGTTGCCACAGCAGAACTAAACAGTTTAAAGCCTTGGTTCTCAAATGGCGGGTCATGACCCAAAGTGGATCTTGGCCCCCGTGTTCAGCGGGTTGCCGCGTGCCTTCCACTTTTCTAGATGAGAGGCTCCTCAGCCTCCCCCTAGCGTAGCACTGTCAGTTCTTATGCCAAGCAGTCATTTAAGATATGCTGCCCGGCAGCACGTGTTGGCTTGCGGTGGTGTGGGCTGGGTTTTTGGCTGCAAAGGGACCTGCATCCATACGTGCATTTCTTACAGCTCCCTCGCATGTCCTATAGAGGGGCCTGGACCGGAATGACATCACATTGTGGCTCCCGGCACCTCTACATGGAATGCAAGGGAGTTGTACAAGCAATGCACATATGGATGGATCTCCGTCGGAGCACAGCAGCCCACACTGAAACCCCAGGCTGAGGATCCACTCCAGTTCTTGTAAGGTAGGGAGACTGGGTGGATCTTAAAAAAAAACAAAAACATTTTTTTGGAGTGTGTGAGAATGTCTGTGAGGGTGTGAGATTGTGCCAGTGGTTGTGTGTCTGTCAGTGTTTTCGAGGGCCCGTTCACACTAGTACAGTGCGTTAATCGAACAGTTCTGTGCGATTACGCATTGTACCACACAATTGCACCTACTACACATTCTGGTGTGGGAGGTGGATTGCGTTTCCATTCATTTGAATGGCACTCCAAACGCACCTCCCACCCACATTTCAATTGCCCGCACTGGAATACGTGGTACCGCAATGCCGTGCATTCCATTGCAGTGCGACTTGGGTCGCGACTTAAGGACAAATGTGGGTCCTGAGGTTACATAGGTTGAGAACCACTGGTTTAAATTATCTCTAAAGGCTAGGCATTGTTTACATTAATGCATTCTCTGTATTAATGTAAAAAAGGCCCAGTGCCTTTATGTGGCCCCTGTCCCCCCCATAGGCTCCCTCTGCCGTCAGTCAAAGTGTGAGCAGGGGGCATGGCTTGCAGCAAGCTGTGTGTGTCCATGGACGCACACAGCTAGCTGCAGGAACACACACTGGTGTCTTCTCAGCAGCCAACTTGCTGATGGAGACAACCGCAAACAGGGAGGGTGGCTAGCGTTTGGGGACAGCTGCAAAAAGGAGGAGAATCAAATGTTTAAAGCAGGAACAAATGTAATTTCAAGTCTGGCCCTCATAATAATAAAAATGAAAAAAATAAAGGTTTAATATCACTTTAACTTCTTACTGTTGACTAGATCTGTCTTGGATTTGCTTTCAGTCAAATTCCAGGGGCATTACTAGGTTGAAGGAAGGGGTACTATCTAGTTATATATTTACTGTATGCCCATGGTACCCCGATATCTCTCTATCTATACACACACACAGTGTATATATATATTTCAATTATGCCTAATATAAATATATATTTCATCTGTGTATTAAGCGGTTTGCCTGAAGTTCAGCTTTAAGAACTAAGGTGCATTCATTGTAATACTATATAACTCCAGAGATGTTTGCAATTATTATTATTTTTATACAGTTTGCGCAGCCCTTTACAATATAAGGAATACATTGCAATACAATTCAAGTCAAGTTGGTAAGGAGGGCTCTGCCCGTGAGGGCTTACAATCTAAAAGATAAAAATACTACTTAGGCTCTGTCACACCTTGAATTTTCCCATCTAATGTGCACACTCCTATTAGACAGGCACTATACCATTATTGTATGGTGGGTGTAGTAAGCAACTAGCTGCATGTTTTACACCATTGCTACACGTACCAACCTCCTAACACTTCAACACACAATAAATGTAATTAACCTGGTAATTCAGAATGAAAGCAAACTGATTGCTCTCCAGGGTTATGTCATGATTTACATTGCCTCGTCTATTATGCTAAGTCAGAGGAAAGAACGGAAAAAATACACCGTAACTCATTATTTTACTCATCTACATCACACATTTCTAAAATGCCAAAACCTATGAGGAAAATCACTTTATTTTCCTAGCTAAGATATGTTATTAAGTAATATTACAGGATGGCCAAATTAAAGTAAACCTGTCACAAACCAGGGCAATTTAGACGGATCATATGGTGAAAAATGCTTAAAGAGATCATTTTATTCCTGCAAAGATGTTGGTGAACAGAGAGCAAGGTTAGAAGGGCAAGTAAAGTCATTAGCATCCTACACTTCTGACTGTGACCGATGTCTGTGTCTGCTCAATATGATGCCTCCTGAAGGAACACAGTGTTGGCTTAGTGACCGACAGGTGGAACCATGTCATGCAATGTAGAGTTGCAGACATCCGACACAACTGGAAGTGTCAGATGCTGAATGGTGACTCTAGCCTCTCAAGAGAGTGCAGTCATCCTCCATGCTAATAGCAAGTATCATTAGCATATAATACAATATGATATGTGATTTGACTTTTCTTTTGCAGTAATGAAAGTGTATCTTTGAAAAAATCTACTTTTCAGAATGATCAGTGTATCCAGAGATATGGGCACCTAAAGTTATAAGCAAATTCTAACTCTAACTATAAAGTCCTTGAGTGTGATGGGCAACCTATCTGACCAACAGTTGTTCTTTCAAGGATCAGTTTGCTCTAGTTTACTTCAGGTGCTGGAGCAGTGTGCCATCCTGCCATACCATTTATTGCTTTGCGGTTAAAGGGAACCACTGAAGACAGAACTTTGAGAGCTGCCATGTTTGACTTGTTTTCACAGGAATTGGCTCTGGGGCTTTCATCCTGATTCTTTGTTCACTTGCTAGCATATGACCTGGACCA